AAAGTTGTCAAGGCATCCTCTGGTGGGAAAAGTACAAAGAGGACACCGGTAAAAAATGTTAATTCATCAGGCTCCTATGCAGATGTTGGGCAATACGTTGAAGGGATATTGCAGAAAACATCACAATTATTGTTTTCAGAGGTAAAGTTGTATTATACTTTCTTTCAGTTTGGAACTTATGCTATACTTCCTGCATCGGGCTGAAGAATCTTGGTCATGCAGGTCAAGGAAGAAAATATAAAGTTACACGGGGAGCAACTGGGTACTGTGGTATCTGAAAAATTACAAAAAAACCTCAGTTCAGAGTTTAAGAACCTTGCTGTAAGTATATATATGAAGATGCTAGTAAGCTTTTCCTCTTTTCAGTAAATTAAAGCCTCCATGTTACATTTTTATGTTTCCAATTTCAATTTTCTTTATAACATTTGCAGATGATCTTTAAGAACACAGCATATACAGAAGGGTTCCATGCTGGTACTCGCTGCCAGCCCCCGCGCATGTGAAGCATACGATGGTTTAAGATTTGCTGGAGGGAAAGTAAAAGAGACCAAAATTTTAACTCTAGTTGTTCAATGTTTAGTTTGTGGTAACAATTAGTTTGTGGTAACATGCATTGATTGAACACTCATATTCTGGAAAATGTTTGGTATACACTCATATTGTTGATCGAAAAGTATCAAAATCTTGCATTATGGTTCATATCACATAATTAGAAGAGGGAACGATTAACTAGAAGAGAAAATATGTATGACACTTAATTACTGATTGTTCAAAAAATTAACAGAGTTAATAACAAATTATAATAGGAAAATTAATTTACATAATAGAGTTAAAATTTTGGTACCCTAATACAGTAAAAAATCTTTTAGAGATCTATTGATCACTTACACCATCTTTAAAGAACCAAATTGAGTATTTGCTCCACAAAGATATCATATAGGATAATATTATATGATAAGAGTGGTAATGGTTTTACGATAATTAGTTTAAAAATTATGTCTAAGATAAGTTCCAATTTATTGAAAAAATATATTAATAATGTATCAAAATTTAACTCATAAATTATTTACACAGTATATGAGACTGATTTATATAAATCAGGGATATGAATTATATAAGACTTTAATAAATATACACAATCAATGTAAAAGCTTAAGTTTTTAACTAATCAAAAATAGATTCTTGGAACACTTATAGAATAATTTTTTTATAACAAATTGTTTTACTTAACTAATCAAACAAAAGGAAATTATAGATCTACTACAATGTTTACCATCAAGTTGTTCAGGCTTATATTTTTCACATTTGACCTCACTTGGGCTCATAGAAGTTCAGCACATTTGTTAAACAATTTCTTAAGGGTAGCAGAAAAACCTTGTTTGTTGCTGAAATATCCTATAGTGATTAAATTAGTAAGTAAAAATCTTTCAGGTGCTGCCAAAGTTGTCAAGGCATCCTCTGGTGGGAAAAGTACAAAGAGGACACCGGTAAAAAATGTTAATTCATCAGGCTCCTATGCAGATGTTGGGCAATACGTTGAAGGGATATTGCAGAAAACATCACAATTATTGTTTTCAGAGGTAAAGTTGTATTATACTTTCTTTCAGTTTGGAACTTATGCTATACTTCCTGCATCGGGCTGAAGAATCTTGGTCATGCAGGTCAAGGAAGAAAATATAAAGTTACACGGGGAGCAACTGGGTACTGTGGTATCTGAAAAATTACAAAAAAACCTCAGTTCAGAGTTTAAGAACCTTGCTGTAAGTATATATATGAAGATGCTAGTAAGCTTTTCCTCTTTTCAGTAAATTAAAGCCTCCATGTTACATTTTTATGTTTCCAATTTGTCTTACACCTAATGCCCTTATTTTTTCCTACTCACCAGGTACCGTTGGGTTGTGTCACTCCATTTGCACTACTGAATGAATCAGCAAGGTATGTTCATGTTCTTATTCTGTTTGGTTACTTATGAGATATCTAATTCTTTATTTCCCTCTCGCTCTATGCTTATTACTTTGTATAAGAAGTTGTGTCCGTTGAAGTGACCAACAATCTTCCTTTGTATAATGATTGCTTGTGTTATGCTAAGTGAGAAATAGATAATTACATAATTTAAAAGGAAAATCAACATTGTGTTATCGGCACGGTTGAAATTATTGTCTTACACCTAATGCCCTTATTTTTTCCTACTCACCAGGTACCGTTGGGTTGTGTCACTCCATTTGCACTACTGAATGAATCAGCAAGGTATGTTCATGTTCTTATTCTGTTTGGTTACTTATGAGATATCTAATCTTTTTTCTTTGGAATGTTGACTCACATATCCAGTCGATTGCAATACCGATCTTCAGAGCTATTTACTGAAGGCGTTTCCCTCTTTCACTATTAAGATGTTTTGCTTTGAAATCCATCTGTCGCTATTTTCCTTGTAGCTTTCTCACTTTAGTCTTTAATCATGTTCTTCTATCTTCTTTTAGTTTTCTTATAAAGTTTCTTTGTTAATTTATGAAAAATTCTACCAGTTCTGAATTTAGTTATTGATTCTTACCTGCTATCAAATTTAAAATGTCTTCTCTTGAGTTATGAACTAAATCTGTTGAATGATAAATAATCTCACGATGTTAGACATACTCACTTTGTTAGTGCACTGGCTTGTCGAAGGGACTTCTATGTTTGAGATGTTTATGTTTTTGCTTCTTAGACTGTTTATAAACATTTTTCTGACTCACTGCACTAATATATTTCCAAGGAACTAATTTATTTTTGTTTTATGTCACATCATTTCCTATCCGAAGAGATGTTTCACTGCTATTGGATCAAGGATTCAAGACTCAGAAGCACTGCTTCTTCCATCCACTGTCGAATGACATGTCCATATGTAAGCAATTAGACTCCCTTGTTAAAAGGAAAAAAAATGCTTTCATATTTTTTCTTAATCTTTTAAAGTTGATGAATATTATAACAGATGCAACCATCTACATTAGGGATATATTTTGCTTGTATATGTCCAACACCATGGGTCCATCAATTGATGTCTGAAGTCCAAACAGGACTTCCTTTCATGCTTGCTTACTATTTGATAATTTAGGAAATTAAATGTTGATGGTATTTTGTATCCAAATGTTATCTTTTAGCTCATCTATGAAGAAGTCAAGCCAGTGCACTAACAAAGTGAGTATGTCTAAAATCGTGAGATTATTTATCATTCAACAGATTTAGTTCATAACTCAAGAGAAGACATTTTAAATTTGATAGCAGGTAAGAATCAATAACTAAATTCAGAACTGGTAGAATTTTTCATAAATTAACAAAGAAACTTTATAAGAAAACTAAAAGAAGATAGAAGAACATGATTAAAGACTAAAGTGAGAAAGCTACAAGGAAAATAGCGACAGATGGATTTCAAAGCAAAACATCTTAATAGTGAAAGAGGGAAACGCCTTCAGTAAATAGCTCTGAAGATCGGTATTGCAATCGACTGGATATGTGAGTCAACATTCCAAAGAAAAAAGATTAGATATCTCATAAGTAACCAAACAGAATAAGAACATGAACATACCTTGCTGATTCATTCAGTAGTGCAAATGGTTTAAAAGGAAAATCAACATTGTGTTATCGGCACGGTTGAAATTATTGTCTTACACCTAATGCCCTTATTTTTTCCTACTCACCAGGTACCCTTGGGTTGTGTCTTTTTTGATTTTTTTTGTCTTAGAATGACATGAAATGATTACACTTGAGTTGACATAGTCTTCTATTTTATTTTGTTTTCCTTTTTCTCATGGTTGTGGATTAATTTCTAATCATTTGTTTCATAATTTTTTTCTGTTAATATTTTTTTTCCTTATCCTTAAAAATGTTAATGCATTAAAACTCAATCTCGTACCATTTGATACTAGAAGTATAAGAGGACCTATATGCATGATGTCGGAATTTGGATGATATGACTATATATACCTCAACATGGGTTTTCACCTTAGTTTATTTTTTTCATTGATCGTGATACCGAAATTCGGATGATATGGACCTATATGCATGATGTCAGATTTTGAATGATATGACTATCTATACCTCAACATGGGTTTTTACCTTAGTTTATTTTCTTCATTGATCGTTATACTGGTATTCAGATGATATGGACCTATATGCATGATGCAGGAATTTGGATGATATGACTATATATATACCTCAACATGGATTTTTACCTTAGTTTATTTTATTCATTGATCGTTGTACCGAAATTCGGATGATATAGACCTATATGCATGATGTCGGAATTTGGATGATATGACTATATATACCTCAACATGGGTTTTTACCTTAGTTTATTTTCTTCATTGATCGTTATTTTGGAATTTGGATGATATGGACCTATATGCATGATGTCAAAATTTGGATGATATGACTATGCATACGCCAACGTGAGTTTTAACTTAGTTTATTTCTTCGTTGGTCATGATATCGAAATTTGGATGACATGGTTGCATGTATCTTAAAACATGGGTTTTAACTTAGTTGATTTTACGTTGATTGTGATATCGCAATTTGGATGACATGGCCGTATATATCTCAAACCACAGGTTAGATTCTTCGTTGATCATGATATTGGAATTTGGATGACATGGTTGCATGTATCTTATTTGGAATTTGGATGATATGGACCTATATGCATGATGTCAAAATTTGGATGATATGACTATGCATACGCCAACGTGAGTTTTAACTTAGTTTATTTCTTCGTTGGTCATGATATCGAAATTTGGATGACATGGTTGCATGTATCTTAAAACATGGGTTTTAACTTAGTTGATTTTACGTTGATTGTGATATCGCAATTTGGATGACATGGCCGTATATATCTCAAACCACAGGTTAGATTCTTCGTTGATCATGATATTGGAATTTGGATGACATGGTTGCATGTATCTTAAAACATGGGTTTTAACTTAGTCGATTTACGTTGATCATGATATCGAAATTTGGATGACATGGTTGTATGTATCTCAAACCACGAGTTTGATTCTTCGTTAATCATGATATCAAAGGATATCGGAGTCTGGATGATATGATTGTATATACCACAACGTGGGTGTTAACTTGATTTATTTCTTCATTAAACATGATATCAAAATTCGGACGAAATGATTCTATCTGCCTCAATGTGGGTTTTAACTTGGTTTATTTTTTATCGATCAGGATATTGAAATTTGAATGACATGATTCTATCTACCTCAACGAGGGTTTTAACTTGGTTCATTTTTCGATCGATCAAGATATCGGAATTTAGATGACATGGTTGTACATGTCTCAACACGGGTTTTAACTTAGTCAACTTTTTTTTTGCTATTCATGATGTCGGAGTTTGGATGACATGGCTGTATGTATCTCCACACGGGTTTTCAACCTATTTGAATTTTGTTTGATATTGGAATTTAGATGACATGGTTGTATAGGGTCATTCGGTAAATCAAAATTTAATAAAATGCAATGATAGTTGTCGCCACCGGCCCGAAACGGGCTTTCG